TTAGAAACGCTCCGAGATCAACTAATTACACAAAATTAACAAAATAAGAAATTATTATTTACGATAAGAAAAATTTTAATGTTCAATTGAAATGAAATCAAAAATTGAATTGAATGTTGAAATTGATATGTGAGAATGGTGGGTTTTGTTGTGTTGTAAACAGAGTAAGTGTCTGGAGTGGAACGGGACGGGGGGGGATTATGTTCAATATTTAATTTCTCTTCAGCATTTATTAAATTTTGCACATAACGCATCAAATGTTTTATGTAAATTTACAAAATAATATTTGAATTTATATGAAAACTTCACTTGATAAATTTACGATAATGCTAAAAGTATTAAAGTTGACATCCTTGAAAATGTGCAAATGAATACTCTTTTCTGACCATTTAGAAGTAAAACTATTTTGTAGTACGTGCAAAAAATTTTTCCTTAAAAAACATATAAGTTCTAATTTTCCTTGGCATGCATTAAAAATACTTAAATTATCCCAATAAACAATATTTATCAAGATACGAATCGTTGATTCGTGTCAACTTAGGTGATATGGCCTTTGAGGCAGGGACTCTTAAATGCTAAAAATATACAAATTTCTTTTATAACGCTTAAAGCATTGTTGCAACTTTTTAACGGTTTTATCTTAAATAAAATTTCATAGATAAAACCACCCGACACCCCGCAATCGAAAAATGAGTACAATGGTACAATAATGCGGACGTCGTTACTTCTTTAGAATACAACAAACATCGTTTTATTTTGCGAAAGAATTTCACATGATGTGTCAAATTTAATCAAATTTTGAATCACTATAATAGCATTTTTACGCTTACTTTTTCAAATGCGTGCGGAACTTACTTTTTCATATACGGGTATAAACTGAACAATGCGAAACTTTTTTCATTGCACAACACTTCTGCAAGCTATTTTAAATTCTTTTGCATCAGAGATGCCATGGCAGTCGATACATTTTTATCTTCTTTTTATTGAAAAGGCATTTTATATTGGAATATTTCTTTTTAATATAAAATAAAATTAAAACTCGAAAGCATTTTATCAATGAGGTTTCGCTATACAAATTATCTTCTTTGAAGATTAAAAAAAGTTTGCTGGGATTGCGGTATTATCTTTGTTTTTTTTGTGATAGAATTCAAATGTTCAGCATTAAAAAATGTATGTTTCGTCCAAAGTCCTTTTGATAGCATACAAAAGTATCACGTGCATGTTGGGAAAATTGAAAGTAATTCACCCTGCTTGGAATTTACAACGTGTATAACAAAAAAAAATATACTTAAATAAATTTATTTTTCAACACCTCAGTTTGGTGATAAAAAAAAACTTTTTAAACAAAAATATTTTATTTAAACTTGCATGTCATGCTGGACAAATTTCATACATAATTAATTTTTTACCTGATGACAATAATTTCAGTAATTACAGTAAAACTCAATTATTCGGGCTGCCGTATGAACACAAATCTCGTTGTGTGAAATTGCACTAAATTCTTGAATCAGTTCTTTGTAAAAAACAAACATACGACACAAATAATTGCTCCACGTTTTTTTTCGAAATGTTATGAAATTAAATATAATAATTTACACATGTTGGCTCAGGCAGACATGCAATTTATAGTTTTGCAATTACCACTTGATTGTAAAATCTTTGCGTAAGCAACTAAATAATAGCATCAATGCAAATCGATTGCGTTAACTAAAAATATAATTGCATGTGTGCGTTCTTGAAAATATACCTCTAGAATACAAATACTCGTAAGCAGTGAAACAGTTGCAAAAGTAAAAATTTCCTGAGCCGTAAATGTTCAATAGGCGTTCTCCAATTTCAAGTCGTTCTAATAAGGTTCTAATGTGCAACTGAAATAAATTAAATTATAACATATAGGATTTTAAGGAACACATAACAACTCATGTTTTGCACTTACACAAGTACTCACGTATATTAGCTAAAGCTCCAAGCACATTTTTATGTAAAAAGGTCTCTTGTAAGAAATTTGGTGAAAACAATTTTATTACCATGGTTCTATAATTATATTACACTAATGACTCGAGTTGAATATGACTTTGAATTTTTTTAAGATTTGTTAATGTTAAAGAATTAAATAAAATTACTAAAATGATTTACCAAAAATTTGTTTACAAACACTCACACGTTCATTCTAAATCGGATAAAAAATGTGGTACACATACAAATATGTACATATATGTATGTGGTGTTAAGGAAATAAACAACAACCATAAAATAACAGTATATGTAGGTTATTGTATATTTTTGCAATTTATTCCGGGAAGATTTAAGAGTAGTGATATGCACAGAATATGTCTGTGTATGTACTTATGTGTATCTATAGCTTACAATTCAATATATACAGGAAATAGGTAAGATGCTTGCAGATATAAAATCATAACAAATCATAAATGTAATATACACGTTTCCTGGTTCTTCTTATACACGTTTCCTGGGGTAAATAAACGCTTCGATATTGTTGAGTTCATTCACTTTTAATGATTTCAAAAATTAATTAATAAAATATCCCTTTTTTTCCGTAATACTCGTGAATGTTTTTATTTATTTATTTATGATATGTTAATTTTCTTATATTATAAAAACTTTTATAAAACCACCGGCGTTTAACACTTTACTTGCAATCATTTAAATTATAACATTCTTTAATAAACGGTAATTAATTGAAAATTTCATAGGCTATTATTTTAAAATAAATTTATCAAGAGAAAAACGAGTCTATACACTCTATAGTCTATCTAGTCCATTTAATTTTGTATTTAAAATTTATAACAAAAAATTTAATTAATTTTAAAAAGGAAAATTAAAATTTACACACCCTTTATTGTTCCTACACTTAATGATACTAGAATAATTTTTCAAGTGAAATTTCATTACACTTTACTTTCGACCAAGGATATTTCTTCTAAATAGAATGTATGAGCGAGTGAATGAACGATACGAGAAATTGTTATGCTGCATGGACTTTAATTACAACATTTCCTTTGCTATTTTCAAAAAAGAAACAAAGTTCCATATTCACACATCCTTATATTTCACACATATACATTCGTATCAATTCATTTGGGAGAATTAAAAGCCGCATTTTATTATCACTTGAGAGAAAATGCGCAAAATCGAAATTGTTTTTTGAAATATAGAGCGAATGGAAAGCGAAAGCGATGTAAACAAAGAGAGAATGTAAATATTGTGGCAACTGGCAAGGCAATAATGAAATGTCAATTTTGTATTTTGATTTTATATAAAGAAGAAAATCTGTTATACTATTGTTTGTAAACAAAATAAAATAAGTGTAATACTGTATAATGTGATAACGTAATCGAAGAAAATAATAGAGTAGAATTTATTTGGGAAACATTGTTCTGAAAACAATGGAATCGGTTATGATACTAAAATTTTATTTTGCAAGGAATTTGTTTTAAATAATCGTATCGTAATTAGAGGGCATGCATAGTCTCCGGAAATGGTATAAAAGTAAAGGTTGAGAGTATAAAACTTAAAACTGAGGTTGAGGTTAAATAACTTAAAATCCTATTTAAATAAGCTTTTCTTAACAAAATGATTTTAATTTTTCTTGCAATAGAAAAAATTCGCTGTGTTTATCCGGAAACATTTGTAATTACAATTAATTTGAAAAGTACCTACATGTGGTATGAGCGAGTACAATAACCTTCTTTGATATAAATTGTGGTGTATTGTGTTTGTGTATAAGTGGGCTTGGATTTGGAAAAGAAAATATGATAGGTAGGTCAATAAAATAATTGTTAGACATTACCAATAAATTGTTAATTATCAAATGTATTATATGGAGGATATTAGATGAATAAAAGTAGACCTTATACAAGTATTGCACGCGATATTTAACGAAGTATCCGTTGAACATTTCAATTATAATTGAAAAAGAGGGTCTATGTATATGCATATAGTTTGAAATATTAATGAAAACAAATCATAGAGTTTTGTTATTTTTATATACTCGCATATAGCTGCTGTACATTCATGTCTAGTACATTAAATTGTTAATTATTTTTTATTAAATTATTCTCCACACATGATTATGGTTAGAAATCAAAATATTTTTTTAAAGAAAGTGGTAAAACTTATTCTAAATATTTACATATTTATTTTTAGATTTTTCAACCTAGTAGTATTAATCAATAGAAATGAAAATAAGAATTTAATATTTTCAAAAACAAAGAAAAGAAGAACGTGTTCAAGTAAGCATGTGAAATTGCATAAGAGAAAAACAAAACAAACTATTAATTTCTCTCAAAAAAGCATTGATGGCATATCCTGTCATGCCAGCGATTACAAACCGACGAGGTAATAGGAAAACTATTCTACATCGTAGTAATTCTGCCAAAGAAGGACACATACCTTTTACGGTATGAGAGATGAAGAACCTGTTAGAGCGGTAGTTAAAGAACTCGTCAAAAGATCAGCCCAGCGGAAGTTTCCTCTTGGAAGCAATATTGTCGTACCTTCTTTTTCCAGCTGCAAACCTAGTACAGACATTGAAGTTCGTTATCTGTTGTATTAGCTCGGTAACACCCATAAAAGAAACACGATGCCACAATGTAAGATAAAAGTAAACACCAGCGAGTTTACTAATCCGACCCTTGCTCCCTCGCAGTGAGAAAATCACCTAATTTACAAAGGACACGCTAACTAAAAAGTGCTTCAAAACATCCATAATAATATGCTCATGTCAACCGAAGCCACTATTTAAAATGACACCACTATTACGGCCCTTTTAAATAAGACAATGTTAGTTCACCCGTCGGGCCAAGTCAGACATCAATGAATTTATTCGAGATTATTAAAAAATAAAAAAAAACAAATATGAAAGAATTGGGGGCATTTTTGTCGTTAATGTTTTCAATGTCGTTAGTTTTTTTGATTTTTTAAGTTTTTCTTTGCACATAAATGGTCAACGAACACATTTAATGAGAAAAATATTTTAATAAACAATAAGCGTATCCTTTATTTTCAAATAAATAAATATACAAACATTTATGGTAACAGTTAAGCATTTCTTTAACAAAATAAAAAGTTCCACGTATTTTCATAGACACTTAATATACAGACACACCTAATTATGCATAGAATTATTAAATTACATTTAAATTTACAATTTTATATATAAATATAAAGATTCAGTGTAAAAATATATGTATATAAATATAGGCTCTAAAGAGCACAAATTCCATTCAAAAATATAATTTTACAAATATTTTCTACATTGTACCATATTAAAGATCCGAAACGTCGAAGTGTAAAATCTGTTACTGTATTAGCACCACAAGTATTTCCAATACATGATGTTCTATAATTAAATATTAATGCTTCATCAGATTTAACATGTGTTTCTGTATGACCTTCTGTTGATTTCCAAATACCGTTAATACCAGCTTCAATTAATGCATCACCTTTGGCAATATATTTTGAATTTTTACCTTGTGGTAATGGTGTTTCAGTTTTTTGTATTTTAATTTGTGTTAATAAATTTTTATTTTTAATATTTGGTGGCACATTAAAATAATCACTTGGACGTTTTTTATAAAATAAAACCTTACGGAATATAAAGGCACTACTACGTCCTTCATCTTTTGCATTTATAAAATCAGTTAAATTATTATATTCGAATGGTATTATTATTTCGTCAATATCAACAATTGCTGTATATTTGAAACCATCTAAATATGTACGATAAATGCAATCAAAATTTTGGGCAGCAATATTTGTTATATGAATTGTTTTTGGTTCGTATTGTTCAATATTAAAATTCCAATTATTTATTTTAATAACACCTTCACGTAAATAATAATTTAATGCTTGTATCATATTATGTGATGCATTAAAATGATAAAAATAGAATTTTTCAGCTCCAAGTAATTTATAAAGTTCAATAAATTCAATAAAATTTAATGTATTTGTATAATTATGATTTAATCCTGTACTACCAACACAAATAGCTAGTGAATCCCGTGGTTTATCTAATATTCGATTTTTTGAGAAACTACAAAAGATTTAAGGAAAAAAAATTTTAATTAATATTTTAAAAATGGAAACGAATTTGATTTTACTTAATTAATATAAAAGTTGGCGAAGTGACTGATGAAGGATTTTCCATGTATGTAAGAGCAACATAAGCTGGTAATTTAACAATAGTTGCTTTGGCATTAATAAAAAGTGGGCACATAATCATATAAAATGCAAAATCTCCTTCAATATCTTCATATTTGTGAAAACGTCGAATTTCACTTGCTTTTATTTCGTAAGTATTATTGCTTTCCGACCTAAAATAAATAATTAAGATTAAATTATTAATAAAATTTTGTTGACATTTAAATTTTTCTACATACATAAAATATTTTATAAAATGAAAAAGCCTTCGCCTGAACTTATGCAATACTTTTTAAATATTTTTGAATAACGTTTGTACTGCTTTTTGTTTGATGTTTTTTTGTTTTTTTTTGTGTTCTCTCGCTTTTTAAAACAGTACTAGCTCTGAAACTGCAGCAATACGAATGCTAGCTTCATAACAGCAGTAAGCCGGTTTATAATGGGAAAAAGAAAAGGTTTAAAACGTGGAGAAATGAAATTTCTTGTAAAATGTTAATTTTTTTATCTTCATTCAAATTTTGTTATGTAAGTACATTATTATAAACGTTACTTACGCCTCATTTTCTTTTGCAGGCCAGAAAGGGAGCAAATACATATTTTATTGGAATTTTTTATTGAATCGAACGGTGTGAGGTGAGTAAAGGAAGGACATGGAGAAAACGTATTTCAAGAAGCCCATTAGTATGGTGTGAGTGACTATAGGCAGAAATGTTTTAAGGAAATTATGAGAAGGGGCAACACTTAGTGAAAGCTTTCCCAAATTTTATTATGGAGCATTCAGACTAAATGCCTTAGAAAATACACTTACTTTATAATACAAGTTAATCCATTCCTCAGTTTTATTGGTAAAAATGCCATTATTCTTATAGCTCCATAGTAATTAAATTCTTCATTATAGTCTTTATTATCTAAAATTTTTAAAAAATATATGAAAAAATCCCCATATAATTATGCAACGTATGTGCTTACTATAAAGTTCTGTTCTAGGATCAAAATATGCTGAATAAATTTGATGTCCATATTTTGCATCACCAATATAATTCCATTGATGACCGTAATAATTAGTTATAAATTGTGTTTTTGGCTTTATAAATTGTAGTAATTCTTGGGCATCTTTTAATATTATTTTCCTTTGATCGTACTGAAAAAGAAAATTAATAAGAAAATTTAAAATTAATTATTACAATAAAAAAATAATTATAGTTTTGGTGTTGCCATATATATGAAAAATATACCGTTATAAAATATTCCAGTTATTGATTAAATTTTTAATTTAAAATTAATTTAAGGTTTTAATTTTTCATAAATGTCAAAGTTTTTTTTTCCTATTAATCTTTGGAACGATTTCAAAACGTATAAAAAAATTGTTTTCTTTCTTTTTGTAGTGTGCGTGTTAAAATTCATTACTTTTTTTTTGAAATATCCTTTGTTTTAAAAAAAAACAAAAGAGATGACATCATTTTAAAAATTAAAATATTGTAAGTAAACATGCCCTTTATAGTAGAATCAGAATTAATAATGGTTTTGTGTCCATTTGTATAATTTTAAAAAATTACTGTCGTGTTATTGAATTTTTATGGAGTTTCTCAAGGATTTTAAAAAATATTAACCCTTATTTGCATAATGGGTCATAAAGTGACGTATTGTTTTTGGTTATAAGACTTAAGAATTATAATTGTACATGTTGTAACACAAAATGAAATTCAAATGGTTGTGGTGAACAAAATTATGAATACGTTTAATAATATTTTTGAGTTGAATTATGAACAAATTTTAACTAGAACTGTTATAACAGTGGTGTATATATGCATTATACAGGCAAGATTTTCGAGGCATTGTATTGTGACTTTCCCAAACTCTCATCAAAATCATATTTGCTATCACTATAGAGTATGATAATTACATTGTTATATTAAAAAATGTACTATCACAAGCCAAAACTGCTTAAGTCGAATTTTTTAGTTTTCAAGTTTAATACAAATTCAAATTCCGTATAATTCAATTTACATTCTGTAAAAATTTCATTACAGTACCTCAATTATTTCCGAATAAAAAAAAAATTAATAGAACTTTCTAATTCTGAAATATTAACCCTCATGCATTAAGCAGTTTTCATTAAATAAATAAAATAACAAAAGCAAAGATGAAAATAAATAATCGATTCTTTTATTTGATTTTCGATTATAATTCACGTTTTCGAATATCAAATAATTTGTTTACACACACACACACACACAGAAACACGAACATAGTAATTGTCCATTTACAATGCTCTTATCATTTTCAAATTGAAAGTTAATAAAAAAAGGTGACAATGTATTAGTACACAAATTACGGTAAATTATTCATAAAAAAAAAAAATAAAAAACGTAAAGGTAATAAAGTAAAAAAAATTTTTCTTTGATAATAAAATTTTTGTTTTGGTTCTCTGTTTTTTTTTTTTTTTTGTTAAATAAAAAAAGTTACAATTCATTGGAATAATATGAAAGAATGATGTCATATATTTAAAATTCAATGGGAGAAACACCAAAGGATAAATAAGGATAATAAAAAATAAAGAAAATAAAATTTATATATATATATATATATTTGATATGTATTAATGTATGCATGTTTGTGTAGATATTGAATATAATATTAAATAAATAAAATACTCACCACAACGACTTGCATTGTTAAAAATAACAGTAATAATATTAAAAAAGTAACGAATGCTGATAATAAAAAATAAATCCAAGCATATTTACTATCGTAATTCATTATTCTCTTATCATTATAATTAAATTATATAATTAGAAAATTAAATAATAATTTTGTTTTTTAAATAACAAATTTTTTTTAATTTATGATTTAATTAAGGATTTTTAAAAGACTCCTCTTCTCTTGCAATATTTCTTTATTTTTCTTGGAATTTCATGATTTTTTAATTATTTTTTTTTTTTAAGGAACACAAATTTTTATTTTTAGCAAATATACAATTTTAATTTTTGAGATTAAAAACAAAAATATTAAATGATCATTTTGCACTTTTTGTTTATTTTAATTTTTTCAATTTAAACAATGAAATTTTGTAATTGAATAAAATTTTCTCGGTTATCCAACCCACCCACAAAAAAAAATTATGATTTCAAAAAAATATTATAAATTTTTTTCTTTTTGAAAAGAATCAGAAAAAAAAATAATAATGAAATTGAAAATAAATGAAATAGAACCAAAAATAAACAAAAAATCTTCTTGTATTTAAAAATCTAAAAACCTACTATACAAGAGAAAATAAAATACGGTTAAGAAATTCTTATACTCGCTCAACTGAAAGCAAATTATTGACTGAAAACGAGGATAAAAAAGAAAAACAAAGTTCCCAATATGAAGAAAATAAAGGAAAAAATCATTTTCATGAAGAGAAAGTGTTTTTCCATGCCTTTATTATTTTTTCTTGTTTTTTTTTTTTAATTTTCCTCTGTGTAATTGTATTTTTGCAAATTGGTAAAAAGCAGATGTTTTATTCATTAAAAAAATGTAAACTTTCTCTGAAATGATCACTGAGAGAACCCTTAAACCAAGATGATATAATTTGGTATTTGCAATCCAAGATGTACGAAATATTTCTTACCTAATCTATTAATCCCCAAAAGTGTTGAGGAAAAGTGTTTGAAACTCATTGTATCCTGTAAACTTCATGAAAAATGCCATTCACTTTGATAAATGTCAATAAGAAAAAATCGTTTAAAATTTTAATTATATTTTCTGACTGACACTGTAACAAAAACAATAACTTTTATACTGAATGAAAATTCTTTATGAAATTCCAATATTGCTTCTTTTACAAAATTGATGACACATATAAAATCTAACAATATTAGTAGTTATTAATGTTTAATCCGGCAGATGGCTTCATCTTTACAAACATGTTTGTCAAAAGAGAATTCCCTATTGAGCCCTTTTTTGATTAGATTTCTCATCATAAAGTAAGAAAATTTCCCTGTCTTAAATGTCAAAAAAATTATTTGTAAGATTTTAAATGTTCGGTAAAACTGTTTGTTTAACTTAAAAAAAATATTTAAAAAAAAACAGGTGTAAATTAAAATATTAAGTTTTTTTTTTTGAGTAATGTATAAAATTTTCTACATTTATGATTTCTTCATAATTGATTTTTGGATTTTCTCTTTATTTCACACGGTATTTTAATAATATTGAATTGTGTTTTCTGTTAAATAAATGCTCTTTTATGTTTTCCATCCAAATAAACAAATATTTTTTTTGTTTTACTACTTTATATTCTAGTTTAACAACTATATTATTCTGACATTGGATTTATTCAGTAGTGGCATACACAATAAATTTACAACCGGTTCGGTGCGAAAATAGTGCTTTCATTTGTTATATGTGTTTGTCCCTTTCTGTACTCATGAATTACATTTTAAAACGTAAAAATTTTTTATGAAATGAATAGTTTTTTGATTTCGAAATTGTGACAGTATCTAGGAGTGTTTTTCGAACCACCATTTCTATCGAAACGCTGCGAACCGACTGAGGCACACCACTGTGTTCATATTAAAAAATATTATTGCTATTGAAATATTTTTCATATATAATTTCAATACTACCTTCCCCCCCTCCCCCCACACAAAAACATAATCACACGTAAAATGTTGAATAGGTACGCGTATTTTACAAATTGCTTGCGAATTATTTTGATTATATAGTTTTTATACAACGTATTACTCAAAATTTATCTTTTCTTTTCATAATAGAATATTTATGGATCGGGCAAACATGTTTTACAACAATTTTTAGTTTTACAACTGTTCGATTGCTTATTTGCATAGGTTTATATTCAAGGGCGCACATATACAACTGTATGATCGTATGCAATTATAGCTGCCTGAACCCTTATTTATATGGTCATTCGCATGTTTATTTTGAATTCTTTGATATGTATGAGTTCGAATTCGAGCTCCAGTATAAGTTTGAACTTCAGTTCGAGTATGAGTTCGAGTATAAGCTTGAGTTCGAATGCGAAATGAATTGATTATTTTCAAGTTCATTCGTTCAATAATAAATATCTAGCTGTCAAATTTACGAGTACCTTTATTCAATATTATTTATGTTTTAAAATCTCATGTGAGCAAAAGCTCGTACTTGAATTATATTATAGGCTCAATTAATTCAATTACCATGTCAATTAACCGAGTATAAAATCTTCCTCAAATACTTTCTTATCAAAATTAAAACACGCTAAATACGATTTTTATATTTGTATACACATTCATTCATACGTTCATTTATAATTTAGCAATATACGTACTGACGTACATAATATAAATTTAATATGTACATACATATATGTGTATATACTCTTACGCATAAATTAATACAACACATACACTTTATTATATATTATTTCCTACTATAAGTTATAAAAATGTTTTACATGTATATGTTATAAATAACAAAGGGTAGAGAAAAACAGAGTTAGTTTAGTAATAAAATGGACATTACGGCGCCAACATAATTCATCTACGCACCCTACCCAAACCCAACCTTTTTATCCTTGTTTTGTTTTTCCTTCTTTCTGCTATTTTATGTTCATTTTTATTCTTACTTTAATAATATATTCTAGATCTTACACATTTTCCATTTTCAAATGAATTTATTTAAGAAAATCCTTATTATGCCTACATACACGGTACGTTTCTTGTGTCTTTTATATGCGTTTGTGCGTTTTTTTAATTCTATTTTTGTATTCAATAAATTCTTTCACCCATATTATATCCTCCCCTCTCTCTCTCTATTCTTTCTTATCATACACCTATACTCGAACTATAAAATTTGATTATTATTAAAAAAGTTTATTCATTTAACATATTTTATGTTTGAAAGTTGAAAAATGAAAAAAGGACAAAGCAAAAACGTATTTTGCCAACATAAGACAAGATTTTCTGTCTTTGTCCTATCTATATCCTTCTATATCAGTTTCTAATGTAATTTAATGACATTCATTTGAATATGCTATAATAACTTATCATATGTTATTAAAACCGGATATATACACACGTACACGTATTATGTTATTAAGTAATCTTCTTTTAATATGCTTGCAAATATTATACTTGAATACTTTGTATAATATGTTAAGGTTTGTATGGTGTGGAAGGTGGAAAATATTCTTTAATTATTGGAACCGGTTGCCGGCAAAATTTCGAGAATAAATTTCCATATAAATAAACAAGAGATATACATACACTTACATAAATCCACAGGGTGTTTCTATGTTAAATTCATTGGCATACATCATTGTACATGGCATACGAAACCATATGGGTAAGTAAAATTTATTTCCTATAAAATAAATGCTGATGTTCATGTATGAATCCAAAATTTAAGTAGTCATTTTGAAAAAGATTACTTTTTGAAATGAGTGACATACTGGTCTCTTTCATTTTAGTATATATCAGGAGTTGAAGCAAGTTTTCATTTATAATGTCAGCGAACCTGGTGTGGTTCGGAAGCTGCTAAAAAAAAACACATATTTTACTTTCCTACACATTCTAATAAAATATTGTATTAACAAATTTATCTAAACACCTCTCAGCTTTTGTAATCTAAATGCTCAAGCTACAGTCTAACTCTCTTTGAATAATTCTTAATTCCAACGGCACATTGGCATCCTATCATATGGTATCTTCCATTAATTCGGGTCCATTGCTCAGGTTAATAAAGAATTTTTTGCGATCTTTCCCATAAATCTCGATATTTCCATAGGATTTGACCATTAATGAAGCAGTAGATTTTCTACAAAAATAAAATATCTACGTTGCCTTTAATAAATTCTAAAACACTTTAAAACAATTAAATATTTCAAAACTTTCAAAATTTAATTCACTATTTAAGCAATTTCCAAAAAATTAAATAAGAACTGAACTTCGTATTCGAGAAAAGTAAAGTGTTTGTATAAAACTCTATGTCAATGTAATCAATCCGACGTGATCATACATGCACTACAACTCAATAACATTTAAATTTAAATAATTGTCATGGTTAAATCATATAAAGTTATTTTATTTATAAAAGTGAGCAACAAACAATGTTATGCAAGTAAATTTGTGCCCAGTATAGACTTAATTTAAAATCAATATTACATTGTTTTTGTTATTACAATTTAAATATATTATAAAATACCTTCCTCTCACGCATTTTCCATTTGCTGTTATTGTTGTAATTTTATACTTCAAATTAATGTTTTTAACTCTTTAAAGTTTTCATTCAATTGTATGTTGGACGGTGGTATATAATTACTGTCGGTGGTATTTGTGTATACGTGTGGGAGAATAAAAGCATGTCAACAAAATTAACTTAAGTTTTCTATCAACATTTGGTACAATATATGTATATATTTTTGTGTAGATATAAATGGATGTGTGTGTATGAAAAAGCAAAAAATTCAGTAAATTATCCTTAATCAGTATTTTTTTTATGTATGTATGTAAATAAAGGATTTATTTCACAATATATAAAAAAATATTAGTACATAACATTAGAATGTTAAAAGAAAGAACAAAACATTATTATTATCCTCGTTAAAGAGAAAGGATATCATAAAGAAAGTAGTAGAAATATTTTTCACCACCAATCTATTTACATCACCATTCCATTCAAAACTGTTCACCACTCCAACACAATATTTCACATTTAAATTTCCCTTGTTAAATTCCCATTATATACATACACATATGAACATACATTCTCTCTTATCATTTTAAAAATAAAATTTTTTCCTAAAAGATTATCTATAAATAAATACAGAACCAGAAACATTATACACACATATATATAGAGTATGGATATACTGTAATTACTGAGGAAGGAAGATCGAAATCTCAAACTTCTACGAAAAAATTGACTTTTCATGTATATTTTTTTTATATTATTACCTTTTTATTGTTATTATTATTATTATTATTTTTATTGCAGCAACAGGTTTATTGAAGTGTGAATATTTTCAAAAGAATTTGCTTGAACAATTCAAATGGAAGTATGTGTATGAAACTATTATAAAAATATACACATACATATTGTCTTTGTCTACCCTACTATAGTTACGTGAAATTATAAGTAAGTTGAGAGAGGAATAAAGTTTTTTAGTCAAAAAATTACACAATAAAAGAAATTTTCCAAAAAATTTTATTACTCTGCTCATCCATTGAATTTAAATCATTCCCCATATAATAATAAATTCTAAAGTATAGGGGATGAGAGATGGTTTAGCTGACAACACTGCTGTCATAAGTATATAACTATACTTAACGAGTATAAATATGATGTACGATTTTTATTTTGCAATAGCTGTATAGTAAATTGATTGTAAGAAAAGGTGAAATTGTGAAGGGCAAATGCAAATAAGGTTTCTTTTTTTTGTATGTGTATATTAATATATAAAAGTAATAAAAAAAGGAGAATATAATAAAATAACTTGTTGAATACATAAAGTGAGAGCAAAAAGACAAAAAAAAACAACAATTTTGCAATGTCAAGGTGAAAAAGTACAAAACGATTGTTTACACATTGTACATACATCCTGTACATACATATATGTATTATTTAAAAGTATAATTTGTTTATACATAATATGTGGGAGTAGGAGGATCTAATTTAAATGACTGAAATGAAGATATTTTAACATATGCAAGGCAATAAATGTGTGATAATTTTCATGAAATAAAGAATATTTTAAATTACCGCAAGAGGACATCATTTTGTGGAAAAGATAAAGGTCAAATAATTAATAAATGTAAGACTTTTCATTTGACTCTTAAGCCTATTTTTAAAATGGGATTCTATTTTACTATTTTTTGCTGGGATTTTCTCTGTTTGTCAAGTGTATTCCCGAAATTATTATAAACATGAAAGACCGTTAATACAACTATTTATAATAACGGAATATAGCGGAATTTTTTTGCAGTAAAATTAATTTTTGTAGCGCTATCTTTTGGAATTTTCTTTAAGTTTTCAATTGCAGTTTAGTATAGACTCAAACCTTTTTGAATTTATTTTACTTATCCATTTATGTATAAACAATTCACAGTTTATTGCACACAAATATTATTTTTCTCTTTAATTTTTTTTCAACTTAAACAAACAGACACATACACAAACATCGATCAACACAAATTTTTCATACACATGAAAACTAAGCATTTGTAGATTCATACAGTCATACCTGTCTCCTTTATCTCCTTTCAAATATTTCAATATTCCAGATAACTAACATATTATTATAGTTGTGTTCTTTTCTTATGTTCTTACCTGAATCAAATACTTACCACTTGTGGTGAAAACAATATATATCGGAATATTTTTCAAATAAAGGATTTTTTTATGTGCTACTTTTTTTGTGCTATTACCGTTTCTGACATCACTAAATATAATGTACAACTGGTGAAAAATAAATTCAAATTAAATATTTTGACTTTTAAAATTCAATTGCCATGTACACTTCAGGCAGTTTAATAACACCTCCTCCACGTTTAACAGCAAGAAGAATTGTTCACATATCTTTGCAGTATGATCCCATTTGAAAACAGTAAGACCTGCCATATGTACCTAGAGGAATATGAAACGAAACATTTAGGGTCAATTGCATATTTAATTTTTTTTTCATTTATGCAATATTAAATATTTTTTATTGATAATTTAAGAAAATAACACCGCTTTAAAAGATTTACCAACACACAACTACATCTAAATTTTCATACAAATATCTACATTAATATGATTCAAATGGAAAATGGAATATACTATAGAGGACTTTTGATTTTTTTCAGTGAATATCTAATCTATATATATAATCTAACTTTGGTGAATAGAAAATTTTCAAAATAAAAAGGTAAATATATTATAAAAATATTGATTAATATGTGAATCAAATTTTTTTCAAAAAACATATGTGTACGCATGAATGTGTTAATGTTGCAAATCATAATGGTGGTAATATCGTATCTGTAGATTACATGTTATAATATAATCTATATGTGCATATGTGGTTATGTTAGGTACTAAATATTCAAACTCAACATTTTCTCAGTAGTTTTGTTTTTTTTTTAATTTGAAGTCATTTTGATTTTGATGTTTTTAAAAACTCCCTAACTCTTGTTGTTGTTTTCATTTCGGAGAATATTTTTTTTATTTTTTCATTTTATTACTCTTTCTGTATTTCATATAAAAACACTTGTATGTATTTGTTTGACTCGATCAATGCAAGAATTTTACTCATTGATATTTGAAAAATTGTAAATAAAAAACTATTTTTTAAAACAGTCTTTAGTAAAACGTTCACAGGTGTGAGTCACGGTAATTCTTTGAGATCGCGCTCCGTTGCGCAGTTTTTTTGCAATTAATTTTTTTAAGGTATACATAATATATTTACATATACATATGCATATGCACAACATAATAACAAAATTAATATTATAAAAATATTACAAAATCGCACAAAAAAAGTTAAAAACGTGTTTCAGAATAAAGGTATTTTTTAAGTGAAAATTATAAAAAAAAATGAAATATGGAAATTTTTTTTATTAAAGTGAAAACGAAGAAGAAAAGAATTTTTCGAAAAAAAATTTAACAAAAAAATAAAAATGGTGATCAAACGCTGCTGATCTCACAATTTTTTAGATTTGAAATTTTTAATTTCTCATTTAGAAATTAAAAAAAAATATTATTAATGGTGAATTTTTAAAAACGGATAGAAAAAACTTACCAGAACTTACCAAAATTTTTGCTAAGCAAAAGCGGAAATGTTGTTTCTTACTATTTACAGTTTTATTTCTTTTTTACCTTGGTTTAGCGTGAAAATTATTATTTAGTGTTAATGGTGCATTTTCGAATTGAATGCAAAACAAAAATTGCATAGTCAATAGAATTAAAAATAAAAATATGTTGAAAAAAAATTTTTAAAAAATAAAAAAATCATAAATATTTTCTTTCTATTGCTCCCAAACATTTTTACATTATTTCATATACATATATTTAGCAGTTGACCGAATGATCAAATCACTAACTAACAAAATTATATCCATATATCTTGCACATAATACATATTATATATGAAACGTGAACTACCTGTATTCAACACAAACATATTCATATGTACATATGTATATAAAAATTCTTTACGTTATAATGCATGTGAATATAAATTATAACATGTTAATAAATAAATAAACATACACCGATATTATATACACATTTTATACGGTATATAATAGATATCCATAATATATTTATGACACTATACTCTCCACTAAGGTAACAATGAAGATGAAGCTAAATATCAAAGAGTTGAGAATTATTTAAATTAAAAAAAAAAAACAAGAAGAAATATTTCTCTTCATTCTCTTGAGTAAACTCTATTTTTTTTTATTTAATTATAGAGATGGCACACTTTTAAAATATTTGGATATAAAGTTAAAGTTGAATTGAAAGCTTAAGTAATCTTGTATATTCTAATAATTTTTAAATAATGTATGTGTTAATTGTAATCGGATATAACGCTCAGTTACTGAAACCGTGACGTGACTCAAAAAAATACGGTTTCTGAGTTATTTATACAGAAATAAGCACTTGAAACATTTATATTTTGTATAAAAATGCCAATTCTCCAGCTTGAAAATCACAAAATTATGCCATAACCAGAAAAACATTTTAACCTCAAAACCTTAACATTCGATTTTTTCTATAATATGCATTTTTTGAGTCATGTCAGAGTTGAAATAAACATATGGTGTGTCATTTTCAAAAGCAATTAGACACAACAATTTGATAAAGGTTAATAGACGAGCATGTTTCAAGGACCAAGTGTTGTTCTGTTTATTATTATAACTATTTATTATTATTATTATTATTATTATTATTATTATTATTATTATTATTATTATTATTATTGCATATATCAGTATTATTGAACACAATTTGAGATCAAATATTATATCTACCTCATTTATATAAATTTTCAAAAATTTCACATCATATTGAGAACAAGAATTCTCAACATTATCACTCAAACTGCTGCAATTTTCTCCAATACACATGCTTACAAACTTATTATATAAAATATTCATTAAATATAATTTAAATTATAATGTAGTTTTGTTTACGTCAAACCTAAAAGATGAGAACTAGTGTACATACATACATATTTATAATATAGAACTGAATCTTGTTATTATTAAGATTTTAGGATATGGCGTGATCACATGATTGCAAAAAAAAATACGACAATAGAAAACTTGAACAGGTAAATTTACCTCAGGCCTTTAAAAATATAACAATAAAATTTTTATTTAATTTGATTTTTTCTAATTAAATAATTAAAATTTTATTTATTTGTATGTATGTATTAAATGATTTCATTTATTTTCCAATTATGATGTAATTAATACGCATTAAATTTTATGTTTTTTTTTTAATTAATTTTTGGTTATGAATTTTATTTTAGAAACCTTGTAGGTAGGAGTCATTAGAGAGAGAATTATAAAAAATAATTCTCTTAATTTTAATATAGTTTAGAAATTCACCATTATTACTAAATTCATCACTATTTTATAAATTAAAAGAAAACGGTTTCCATACATATATAATTTTTGTTTTTCTAAAGTTAAAAACTTTGTTGAATAACTAAAACTAATAATTTTATTAACATTTTATTGTTATAAAACGAACGATTAACTACGACGAGACTTGATTTTTGTTATTTATTTTTTTTACAAAGTTCGTATTCAAATTTATTTTTTATTCAAATCAAATCTCATTATACAAATATTTATTAAAAGAAAGCAATAAAAAAAATTTATTTTTATTTTTTTTTTCAAAAAAAAAAGAGAAAGAGAAGTTTAAAAAAAAAAAAATAAAACTAACAATAATTAATAAAATAAAAAAAACATTTATTGAAATTTGGATTAAGAGAGAAACAGAAGAGAAACAGCAACAAAAGTTGGAGTAAAAATTTAAAACAAAGGTATGTTGAATAAAAAGTACACTCATATAATTAGTTCACCTTTAAATTATTTATTTGTTTTTCATTAAAAATTTAAGAAAATAATTATTTTTAATTATTATGATTTTGTTATTCCATTAATTAATTATATTTAATTAAATATTTTAAAGTTTTTACTCTTCTCTTTTATTTCGTTTTTCACCTTTCTCCATTCTGTATTTGTTCTCTGTTGTGTTGTGGTGTGGTGAATTGTTGTAATGAGAAAGAGAACCTCAAAAATTAAGAAACAGTTTTTTCTTTTAAAATTATTGTGTATTATTGACGTTTTATATTAAATTAAGTTAAACAGAAAAGTCTATCGGAATAATCAAAAGACGATCGATTTTAATTGTTTGGTAACCATTTTTTTTATGAATGAGAATAAGAGAATAGAATTTTTAATAGAGAATTTTGTATTTAAATACAGGGTATATAAAAAATAAATGATAAAGTTTTAAAAAATTACACAAAATTAGGGAAGCTGTTAATGAAGGCAATAAAGTGGAAAATCGATCAAATTTTATTTTTATTCAATTTTTTTTCTACTTTTTTTAAGATCGTTAAAAGATTTGTCTGCAAAATAATTACCATAATAAAGAAAACATGACTTTAATTTTGTAGAGTTTTTCTCTTCTTTTTTTTGCTTTTTTGTCTCATTCTCAGAATATTTAAGGTTTGCGTGTGGTATAATATGTTTAATAAAGTGACCAGGCGTACATTATTATTCAATATATTCAATAAATTTGTTAATTGTTTAGATTACAATTTTAGATATAAGATTAGATGTATAGGTGTAGTAATATAAAAATTTGCCATTTGAGAAATGCAAAATATATAGAAACTCAATTTTCATTACATGGTTCTATGGAGAAAAGTTGTTCGAATTGACCAACTGATTTTAAAATTATTCAAGAACAAAATTTAGTCAAATAAAATTTCATACTATAAGGACTGAGAATTTACATGTCAATCATTCTAAATATAAAAAAAAAATAATAATTTAGAAATAGAAAATCAATTTCGAATAATCAAACACAATCAAAAAACTTCAATAGAAATTACGTTTGTTTATTTTAAAGAGCTGTTCGATCTTTGGAACTTCGAATAACGGAAGTCTGGCAGACCCATATTTTTGTATCTCCTTCATTATAATAAGAATTTGGTGACCATATACTTAATTATGCTCCAACAGTATAATAAATATAAATTTTTCTTTATTTAATTTTACAATTTTACTTTTTGTTCTTACTCAAATCCAATATAAGCAATTGTAGGTGGAAAACTGTTAGTTAACGAAACAAAAAAAAAGAAAAATAACAAAAATTAAGAGAAAAATAAATCAAAAATACCATCTTTACGGCAATTTGGGTTTGAAATAGAACAAAAGGTGAACCAAAGTAAAATTTTTATTTTTCCATTTAAAAATGAACTCATACAGAGGTGTTATATAAAATAAATAAAAAAAAAACAGAGAAAGAAAGAAACTTGGGAATATTTTATTGTTTTCGGTCGGAAAGGCTCTAGTCTTTGTTATGATTTTTTTTTTAATTTTTTGAATGTGTTCATTCATCTATATACATAATTTTCTTTACTAATGTATATTTTCGAAGTTCAACTTTGGTTAATGACAAATTTTATTAGTTCTGGTTCTATACACTTACATATGCAATTATACCTATGTAGGTGAGATAAACGAGTTTCTTTGTAAATTTATTCAACAAAATACTACTATTACTATTTTAAAAATGCCTGTATATTTAGTATAATAGTAAGATTTTCAGCAAATTTGCTTTTTTTCTTTGTTAAATATTAAGTCATTTTTTGTTATTTAAATTGAATTATCGTGTTGATAATTGAGTTATAAATAATTTATTTATTTATTTTTCTTAAATAAGTTTAATTTAAGATTTTTTCAAGTTGCAAGAAGTAATATTGTTCTAAAATGAAAATGTCTTCATTAAGTAATTTGTGATTTCGTGTTTTCACATTGTGAACAAATTTTTGGGAATATGAACGGAAAACATGTTACCTATATTTAAAAGTTACGATGATCAAATAAGAAATTCTAGTTTTATTAAATTTTACCACTTGAAATTCTCAATTAAGTATATTCCATTCGTATATGTCGTGACAAAAATAGTACGAGAGTGTCGAGAATTTATTCAGAAAAACCGAACATTCACTATAAGCCGATTTCAAAAAGCGAACAAAAAAATATGTAATTTTTTAATTTAAATTTTTAATTTGTGTTAGAAATACTAAAGTAATTCAACAGAAAATTTAACCCAAAAATTAAAACGTTTGTCAAAAAAATTGTTGTTTTACAGAAACTGTCAAATTACGTTGCATATTTTATGAGTAAACAATTCATAAAAACGTCCCATTTTTTAAGGTTAGGTATATAATTTCTGTGAAAATCAAAAATTTCGACTTCATAGCTCTTTCAACTTCACTACAAAAAAAAACAATTATTTGTATTTTGATTTTTTTAAACATACCTTTAATATTTATTTTTAATAAACTGAAATTAAATGGAAAACGAAGAAAATAAAATATTGTTAATAAATGTGTAATCAAAATATTTGTATTCGATATGAAAGTTTTAGAGTTTTTGTACATATTTTAGATAAGACCAGAAAAAAAGGGCTTGGAAATGAAAATATTTCTTGTCATTTGCGTTAAAAAAGGAATGATAAATTATATTGCCAAACGATATTTGACGTACAAAGCAGTTAAAATTTGAGAAATATACTTAAATGCAGGTAAGCAATTAGTATTTGATTCTCAATATTTTTCTGATCTTGGGAATGTTTGATGGTTTTATTAATAATTCCATAACAGTTAGTTAGATACTTTGCGTGTGCGAATTAAGACACAAACCTTAAGCTGAATTCGTTGGAATTTGATACTTACTCACTTTATTTTAGAGCAGCTTTTTTTCTCTCTCTCCCTCTCTCGAAAAGTTAAATTAAATAATAAAAACGTACCGTTTACTTTTCAAACCATTAAAAATTCAATTAAAATATAATTTTAATAATAATAAGCATAAAAATAAATGTCAGAAAAAGAGAGAAAAATATCAAGATTTGTTCAATTTAACCTGATTTTCTTCCCTTTATTACCAGCAAGGCGAATCAAATTTTAAATTTTAAGTTTTTTACACATTGTCGCATGTATTACTGAACTTTGTTCTAAGACTTTTTTTTTTAATTTTAGAAGAACAAACAAGAAAAAGCAAAACGTTTTTGGCATACAAAATTTTCTTTAATTTCATGCCCACCAGGTATAATTTTTTTTTTTAAGAAATTTTCCAACCAGTTAATCGTATTTGTATGGGTTCACGTGTGCATTTTAAAATAAGTGAACAATTCCCTGTTGTCTCAGTATACAAAAAAAACGTTAACAAAAATATTTTTTTGTTTTCTTTTTAAGGCTAAGGACCTTTAGGGTTCTTTATTTATTTCACTTTATTTTTATTATTCAATGCTAAAAATTCAGGTACAATTTTTAAATTAAGGTAAATTTGAACTTTAAAAAATTCTTAAATTTTTTGTGTAAATACAATGTTTTTTTTTTGTTTAATTGACTTGCATTGTAATATCAACAGCTTAATTTTTAATTTTGTTTTTGTATTATAAAACTAAGACGAGAATGACATATAAAAAAGGTTAAAGTGAATTTAATTAAATGACCCTACTATTGCTGTATAGTTGTTGTTGATCTCATTTATGACAAATTGATCTTAGAATATTGTTACTGAATTACAAATAGTTTAAAATTAGTTTTCTTAGATTTTAATCACGTTTTTAGCTTTTTACACTTACAACACCTAGAAATTTTGTAGTGATTATTATTATAAAAATTCAATAATTTATTATTCGATTAAACTTTATCATACTTATAAAATTTATTTAAGAATTAATTAAAAGATAATTTACAATGTATTTCTGTAAAATTAATTTCAAGTACATTACAGAAGCACCTTTATAGTAAACATTCGATTTAAAAATAAACGTAGTGTTGTTTTCTGCCTTTTTTAATAATATAATTAACTGTCTTCGCCCCTTTTCAACTCCAACCCATAGGATCTTTCGTGAAATTCGGCCCGATTTACATGAGCACTATTTCCAGGCTCCGGTCGAGTATTGTTCTGCAACAGCGAGGTGTACTGTGACTTCAAAAGGGACCAAAAAGCTCCCTCCAATACAAGTCTGAGGCGGGCCACTGTCACATATTCTGACAGTATGTGCACTACAGTTTTATTCTCTTTTAGATAAGAACGACACGACTAGAGAAAGATAATGGGGAGACAATGTTTAGTGAGTACTCAGAGTAGTAGTCGCAATCTATCCACTGAATGATAATTACTGAAAAGATGGTAGAAAATGTAAAATCTTCAAAAAAATGGCATCCAATTTAATTATTTATTTGAAAACTTTTATTTACCGTGAAACTATTGAACTAAAAAAGTTTCATTTCAACTGGAATTATTACGTACCTCGAAGTTCTATATCGAAATTGGTTTTGTTTCAAAATTCCTCTTTGATATGTCACATACCAAAAGTGTAATGTGTTGAACGTCATTTCATTATTACTGTTACTTACTTATATTTTGTTTTGTTTGTATATTTTTGAATATTGGTTTTATATTTTTGTTTACTAAATAAAAAGATAACTAAAATTTTTATCGTAGGATCTTTTAAGAAATCAAGAAAAAAAAAACACATTTTTTATCATTATGTAAATAAAGTTGTGATAAGATATAGCAAGCCTGCACCAGAAATATTAGAAACGGAACGAAAAAAATTTATTAAAAATTACTTTTTGAATCAAAATATAAAATTAATTTTTCATCAGAATTTTTGGTGACAAATTTCTAATATTAAGCAAAACTAGACAAGAAAAAATAGTTCTGTTTTATTGAACTTTAAAAGACAAAGGTCGAAAATTATCACAAATTTTAATGAAAGTATTGAATATTT